GAAACGTCGTGAAAATAAAACAAAATAATATAAATTATAATGGTCCAAATAATATCTTATTTTAGTTTTATTTTATTTTTTTACCTACGTGACTTTAACCGAAAGAACCAAAGAGTACGGATCCCTGCAGTCACGAAAGCTTCAAATCTAGATGTAACACGCAGTGTTATTGAGGAATGCGTTAAGGTTGAAGAAACAGCGCAGTAATGCTGATGCATCTTGAAGCACGGGGGGAAATCTGCGGAAGCCGCACGGAGGGCACGACGCGACCACGCTCTCTCACATGGGGTGCAAGAGAAACAGCGCCTGGCTGACCTCTGTTTCTGTCGCGGCTGCGTTATCGTCCGTGTGGTCTGCGTGAGTTGAGTTGCGCAGAGATAAGGGGCAGCAGCTGCCAGTCGCCGATCGGGGGGTGAGGGCATTGGGGGCATTTGTCACCCTCCCACCCAACCCCCACGCACCCTGAGACGACGAAAATCTCAAATTTGTGTAGGCGTTCCTCGCTTAACGAGCGAGATACGTTCCGCGAAATTTGCTCGTTCGGCGAAAATCCGTTAAAGAGATCGTCGTTGTTAAAGGCTGAGTCACCTTTCAGCCCCAAAATGTTCCACTCTAGAACAACTTTTTTTTAACGTGAGAAATACGAAGTATAATTTTAAAATAAAGTCATAAAACATCAACTGTATAACTTCGCATCCAGGCGCCTCTCCTCAGCGCCTTAATTAGCCGCTCTCCCCCGGGAAGTTCCCGGCTCTCAGTGTTGTGGTGACCACCCCCTGTGACCCACACACAGACAAAGATCCCCCGTATAGCCTTAACATACTGCAGGGGCAAGTGCTGTTAGCGAGCAGCACCTATGAAGGCCAAAACAGCACACGAGGGGGTGGGTGGCCAGAAAATTAGTACCTCGTAGTGATGTTTACACACAGAACCGGGTACTTATTTGAGGTCGATTCTGGGCCTCCCCTAGGTCGACTCAGCCTGTGACGCACGAAAACACACACCTGCCATCTCACTTGCCTCTGCCCGTACAGTGACACACAATCCTTTATATGCGTCAAAGGATTGCGAAGCTATGATGATGAAGCTGCGTGTCACCACAACGGGAAACTTTCGGGATGGGACTTGCGACACGTGGTGCTCAACGTGAACAGCACCGGGGGGTAAGGCCCACAGAGCTATGGAGCTATTTTTCAGAAGCGACCTGGCCACAAATGATAGCTCAACGAAGTGGGCTTATCACGTGGACATTTATAGCAGCCACATTTCTCTGAACGCACGTCGTTGTTTCTAAAAGTGGAGGGAAAAACTGGAGAACCCGGCGAAAAATCCACGCGACTACGGGGAGAGTGAGAGAGAGACACGCAGACTCCAAATAAACAGCAGCCTTTTAGGGTCGGGATCGAACAAGGACCTCCTGTATAGCAGGCGAGGGAGTTAACATCTCCTAGCCACCGCGGCGGCGAGTTCACGCCGAAGCCGCTGTCCTACGCGACAACACCAGGTCGTGAAATACTGAATCGGCTGATCGTTGTGCGGGCTTTGCTGGATGAGGCTCACACATTTCACTGATGAGACGTCGCGTGGTCAAAACCGGTCCAGAGTTTTGCTTTGACTCAATCAAGGCTGCTGAACGGATGCACTCCCGGGTGGCCATTTGTGTGAGCAGACTTACTTCAAATGCCTTTGTTCGAGTGACGGATCACAGAGGGAGACATTGCCCATCTGTTTTGCTATCAATATTATCAGCTGCAGGCACGTATGCGTTAAGTCAACCCAATTGTTAAGGATTATTATGATGGGGAGGCGCTTAAACCGCGCACCGGAGTGGCGAGCGCCGTACGCCGAGAATATCTGCCCCAAGCGAGCCGAGCGTGGAAACATTTCACAAGAATCTCGAGTTAATAATGATGATGACGGTGATGGTGATGAGGATTGTGATGGTAATGATGATGACGAGGATCGTGATGATGGTGATGATGACGAAGATCGTGATGGTGATGGTTATGAAGATTGTGATGATGATGATGACGAGGATGGTGATGGTGATGACGAAGATTGTGATGGTGATGATGACGAGGATGATGATGACGCCTTGTAACGCTGCACCACTGCTGCCCGATGTTTGCTCGGGCAGAGATAGCTAGGGGGAGGGGTAAGTGGGAGTGGAAAGGAGTGGGGGAGTAAGTGGGGGGCTAAGTGGGGGGGGGGGGGGTGAGTAGAGTGGGGGCGACTTGGGGGTTTGAACTCGCGACCTTTGCATTGGGAGCCGCTCGCTCAACGCCCGAGTCGTTTTGCGAGCGACAAAGCGACCCCCCTGTGAATATGGACCCCCCCCCCCCTGTGAGTATGGACTCCCCCCCTCCCTGTGAGTATGGACCCCTCCTGTGTGTTGGACTCGGCATTCCGGAGTCTTTGTCATCAGCGCTAGGAATCGTCATCGCCAAACAAAAAACAAAACTCAGCGCAATCGTCAACGACACCGTGGGCTTCAAATCGCAATGCGCAATTGGCAAAGTTTCGGGAAATAACCCCGTGACGCATCGAGCAGAGGTGGGAGAGGGAGAGAGAGAGAGAGAGTGGACGGTACGAGTTGGAGGGTGCACTCGTTAATGTAACACATTCCTCCTGCGGAGGGAGCTGGTAGGAACATTGGGTTGCTCGGTCAATGGCCAAGGTCAACGGCGGCGTGGTGTATTCCGCAAATATGGCCGACTGTGAGGGCGGGCACAAGCCGGCGTGAGTAGGTTCAACGTTGAGTTTTATAAGGGCACCACGGGGTGACCAGCCCCTCCCCACCCAGCCCCACCCAGCCCCTCTCCACCCTCCCCTCTCCACCCAGCCCCACCCCTCCCCGTTTTGGATGCACGACGGACGGACACAATAATCCCCTGTGGGCTGGTGTAACACACCTTGGGGGTCTCGTGTGAATCGCATGTTCTTCACATGTTATTCACTCACTCTAAGAGACAGAGAGAGAGAGACCCAGAGGCAAGAGGAAGAACCACAGACGGGCGGCAAGGCAGCAGCAGTAGCCACGCGGTGAGTCTGCCGAAACCAAACGTTGCCTCAGCTCTTGCGCTCCTATACATATCAAGGTGTTTCGGGGCCGTCCATAAATGACGTCACGCACCTAGGTGGGGGGGGGGGGGGCTCAGACATCTGTGACGATGTGTGACGAGGGGGGGAGGGTTTGAGAAATGTGACGTCACATCAAAATGCGCAACTTTAAATAAATATAGACAACACGTTCTAGTTAATTAAATATACTTGTTAATAAATGTTTTCTCCTACAACATCAAAGTACAGCGCCACATTAAATACGCACTACAATGACAATAGTTTAAAGCGATTTGAAGCATGTTTTATTTTGGGGGGGGGGGAGGGCAGAGCTTTGTGACGTCATATTTGAGGGGGGGGTCTGACTTTTTGTGACGCCGCGTGACGAGGGGGGGGGGGGTCAAAAATTGTCCAAAATCGCGTGACGTCATTTATGTACGGCCCCACAGTGGTGGGTTACAGGCAAAGATCCCCCCGGATAGCCTTAACAGAATTTCGGGGCAAGTGCTGTTCGTGAGCACCTATGAAGGTCGCCACGGACACCCGTAGGGGAGAGGGGGGGGGGGGCAACACCAACGCCCGGCTGCCTTTGTCTCCCCAGTGGCGATGTTGACACACCGCACCATTTGAGGCTGAGTCGACGAGTGGTTTCGACAATCATGGGAATCGAACTCTGTTCGCCGGGTATCGTTGCACAGCACGCTAACCACGATGCTACCGCACTCACCAAAGACAAAGATCCCCCGTATAGCCTCTAACAGGCTGCAGGGGCAAGTGCTGTTAGCGAGCACCTATCAAGGCCGGCACGGTACACGAGGGGGTGGGTGGCCAGCACCACGCCCGGCCGCTTTGTCTCCCTAGGGGCGATGTTTTTACACAACGCACCAGGTACTCATTCGAGGCTGAGTCGACCTAGGGGAGACCCAGGACCGGTTCAAATAATCGTCACCGGCGTTGTCCGTGAGCGGGAATCGAACTCGGGTGTCCCGGGTATCGTAGCGCAGCGATGCCCACTACACCCCCCCCCATCACCCCCCCATCACCCCCCCCATCACCACCACCACTACCAGCAGCAGCAGGCTGAGTCGTGAGAGGCGGCTGGCTCCCTCCCTCCCTCCCTCCCCTCCCTCCCCCCTCCACCCGCTCTCCCTCCTCCCCTCTCCCCCTCCATCCCCCCTCCCCCTCCATCCCCCCTCCACCCCCTCCCCCCTCTCCCTCCTCCCCTCCACCCCCTCTCCCTCTCCCTCCCCCCTCCACCCCCTCTCCCCCTCCACCCCCTCCCTCTCCCCCTCTCCCTCTCCCTCCCCCCTCCACCCCCTCCCCCCTCTCCCTCCTCCCCTCCACCCCTCCCTCCTCCCCCTCCCTCCCCCCTCCACCCCCTCCCCCCTCTCCCTCCTCCCCTCCACCCCCTCTCCCCCTCCCTCCCCCCTCCACCCCCTCTCCCCCTCCACCCCCTCCCTCTCCCCCTCTCCCTCCCCCCTCCACCCCCTCCCCCCTCTCCCTCCTCCCCTCCACCCCTCCCTCCTCCCCCTCCCTCCCCCTCCACCCCCTCCCCCCTCTCCCTCCTCCCCCTCCTCCTTCCACCCCCTCCCTCTACCCCCTCCACCCTCTCCCTCCCCCCTCCACCCCCTCCCTCCCCTCCCTCTACCCCCCTCCACCCCCTCCCTCTCCTTCCGCCCCTCCGTCTACCCCCTCCACCCCCTCCCTCCCCCCTCCACCCCCCTCCCCCCTCTCCCTCCTCCCCTCCCCCTCCCTCCACCCCCTCCCTCCCCCCTCCACCCCCTCCCCCCTCTCCCTCCTCCCCTCCACCCCCTCCCTCCCTGGCGAAGCTTTCACTTCCTCTTCTGGAATCGGCGTCTGCCCCCCCGCCCCGCCCCCGCCCCCACCCCCCGTCCCTCTCGCGTCTCGCTCCCCACTTCGCCGCCACTGCCGCACGCGCTCACGACTCACCTGGGCGGGCAGCCCCGCCACTGGTGATGGAGTCTCCGCACCGCTGCTCATGGACGTTCTGGGGCTGATGCTGCTGGGGCTGCTGTAGCTGCTGCAGCTGCTGGGGCTGTAGCTGGGGCTGGGAGTGTGAATCTGTCGCTTCGCTGCGAGAGGGGTCATCCCCCACTCATCTCCTCCTCCTCCTGGGCACTGACGTGTCTCACCCCGAGCGTGAGTGTCACTCGCTACGCCACAACACCACCACTACCACCACCACTACCACCACCACCTTACACAACAACTACCACTACCACCACCACTACCACCACCACCTTACACAACAACCACCACCACCACTACCACCACTACCACCACCACCTTACACAACAACTACCACTACCACCACCACTACCACCACCACCTTACACAACAACCACCACTACCACCACCACTACCACCATTACCACCACCACCTTACACAACAACCACCACTACCACCACCTTACACAACAACCACCACTACCACCACCACTACCACCACCACCACCTTACACAACAACCACTCGCTACGCCACAACACCACCACTACCACCACCTTACACAACAACTACCACCACCACTACCACCACCACTACCACCACCACCACCTTACACAACAACCACTCGCTACGCCACAACACCACCACTACCACCACTACCACCACCTTACACAACAACCACCACTACCACCACCTTACACAACAACCACCACTACCACCACCTTACACAACACCACCACTATCACCACTACCACCACCACACACAACAACCACTCGCTACGCCACAACACCACCACTACCACCACCACTACCACCACCACCTCACACAACAACCACTCGCTACGCCACAACACCACCACTACCACTACCACCACCACCTTACACAACAACCACTCGCTACGCGACAACAACACCACTACTACCACCACCTTACACAACAACCACCACCACCTTACACAACAACCACCCACTACGCTACACCACCACCACCACTACCACCACATTACACAACAACCACCACCACTACCACCACCACCACTACCACCACAACCCAGCCCTGCCACCACCGCTCCGTGTGTGGGCCTCCCCTAGGCCGACTCTAACGAGCGCCCTGCTGCTGTGTAGACGTCGTCGCCACTGGGGAGACAAAGGCGGCCGGGCGTCGTGCTGGCCACCCACCCCTATCGCTCTAATAGAGCTCGATAACTCGCCCTTGCCCCTATAGACTGTTAAAGACTACACGGGGCAGCTTTGTCTTTGTTGCTGTCTCCCCCCTACCCCCCGTACAGGTGATTGTCCACGTGAGTGAGTGTGTCAGGTGAGTGAGTGAGTGTGTCAGGTGAGTGAGTGTGTCAGGTGAGTGAGTGAGTGTTTCAGGTGAGTGAGTGAGTGTTTCAGGTGAGTGGGTGAGTGTGTCAGGTGAGTGAGTGAGTGTGTCAGGTGAGTGAGTGTGTCAGGTGAGTGAGTGTTTCAGGTGAGTGAGTGTTTCAGGTGAGTGAGTGTGTCAGGTGAGTGGGTGAGTGTGTCAGGTGAGTGAGTGTGTCAGGTGAGTGGGTGAGTGTGTCAGGTGAGTGGGTGAGTGTGTCAGGTGAGTGAGTGAGAGAGTGAGTCAGGTGAGTGAGTGAGTGAGTGTATCATGTGAGTGAGTGTATCAGGTGAGTGCGTGAGTGTGTCAGGTGAGTGGTGAGTGAGTGAGTGAGTCAGGTGAGTGAGTGAGTGTGTCAAGTGAGTGAGTGAGTGTGTCAGGTGAGTGAGTGAGTGTGTCAGGTGAGTGAGTGTGTCAGGTGAGTGAGTGTGTCAGGTGAGTGAGTGAGTCAGGTGTGTGTGAGTGTGTCAGCTGAGTGAGTGAGTGAGTCAGGTGAGTGAGTGAGTGTGTCAGGTGAGTGAGTGTGTCAGGTGAGTGAGTGTGTCAGGTGAGTGAGTGTGTCAGGTGAGTGAGTGAGTCAGGTGAGTGAGTAAGTCAGGTGAGTGAGTGAGTGAGTCAGGTGAGTGAGTGAGTCAGGTGAGTGAGTGAGTCAGGTGAGTGAGTGAGTCAGGTGAGTGAGTGAGTCAGGTGAGTGAGTGAGTCAGGTGAGTGAGTGTGTCAGGTGAGTGAGTGTGTCAGGTGAGTGAGTGAGTCAGGTGAGTGAGTGAGTGTGTCAGGTGAGTGAGTGAGTGAGTCAAGTGAGTGAGTGTGTCAGGTGAGTGAGTGAGTGAGTCAGGTGAGTGAGTGAGTCAGGTGAGTGAGTGAGTGAGTCAGGTGAGTGAGTGTGTCAGGTGAGTGAGTGAGTGAGTCAGGTGAGTGAGTCAGGTGAGTGAGTGTGTCAGGTGAGTGAGTGTGTCAGGTGAGTGAGTGAATCAGGTGAGTGAGTGAATCAGGTGAGTGAGTGTATCAGGTGAGTGCGTGAGTGTGTCAGGTGAGTGGTGAGTGAGTGAGTGAGTCAGGTGAGTGAGTGAGTGTGTCAGGTGAGTGAGTGAGTGTGTCAGGTGAGTGAGTGAGTGTGTCAGGTGAGTGAGTGAGTGTGTCAGGTGAGTGAGTGTGTCAGGTGAGTGAGTGAGTCAGGTGTGTGTGAGTGTGTCAGCTGAGTGAGTGAGTCAGGTGAGTGAGTGAGTGTGTCAGGTGAGTGAGTGTGTCAGGTGAGTGAGTGTGTCAGGTGAGTGAGTAAGTCAGGTGAGTGAGTGAGTCAGGTGAGTGAGTGAGTCAGGTGAGTGAGTGAGTCAGGTGAGTGAGTGAGTCAGGTGAGTGAGTGAGTGTGTCAGGTGAGTGAGTGAGTGTGTCAGGTGAGTGAGTGAGTCAGGTGAGTGAGTGTGTCAGGTGAGTGAGTGAGTGAGTCAAGTGAGTGAGTGTGTCAGGTGAGTGAGTGAGTGAGTCAGGTGAGTGAGTGAGTGTGTCAGGTAAGTGAGTGAGTCAGGTGAGTGTGTCAGGTGAGTGAGTGAGTGAGTCAGGTGAGTGAGTGAGTGTCAGGTGAGTGAGTCAGGTGAGTGAGTGTGTCAGGTGAGTGAGTGTGTCAGGTGAATGAGTGAGTCAGGTGAGTGAGTGTGTCAGGTGAGTGAGTGAATCAGGTGAGTGAGTGAATCAGGTGAGTGAGTGTATCAGGTGAGTGCGTGAGTGTGTCAGGTGAGTGGTGAGTGAGTGAGTGTGTCAGGTGAGTGAGTGAGTGTGTCAGGTGAGTGAGTGAGTGTGTCAGGTGAGTGAGTGAGTGAGTGTGTCAGGTGAGTGAGTGAGTGTGTCAGGTGAGTGAGTGTGTCAGGTGAGTGAGTGAGTCAGGTGTGTGTGAGTGTGTCAGCTGAGTGAGTGAGTGAGTCAGGTGAGTGAGTGAGTGAGTGTGTCAGGTGAGTGAGTGTGTCAGGTGAGTGAGTGTGTCAGGTGAGTGAGTGTGTCAGGTGAGTGAGTGAGTCAGGTGAGTGAGTAAGTCAGGTGAGTGAGTGAGTGAGTCAGGTGAGTGAGTGAGTCAGGTGAGTGAGTGAGTCAGGTGAGTGAGTGTGTCAGGTGAGTGAGTGAGTGTGTCAGGTGAGTGAGTGAGTCAGGTGAGTGAGTGAGTGTGTCAGGTGAGTGAGTGAGTGAGTCAAGTGAGTGAGTGTGTCAGGTGAATGAGTGAGTGTGTCAGGTGAGTGAGTGAGTGTGTCAGGTGAGTGAGTGAGTCAGGTGAGTGAGTATGTCAGGTGAGTGAGTGAGTCAGGTGAGTGAGTGAGTGTGTCAGGTAAGTGAGTGAGTCAGGTGAGTGAGTGAGTGTGTCAGGTGAGTGAGTGAGTGTGTCAGGTGAGTGAGTGAGTGAGTGTGTCAGGTGAGTGAGTGTGTCAGGTGAGTGAGTGAGTGTTTCAGGTGAGTGAGTGAGTGAGTCAAGTGAGTGAGTGTGTCAGGTGAATGAGTGAGTGTGTCAGGTGAGTGAGTGTGTCAGGTGAGTGAGTGAGTGTGTCAGGTGAGTGAGTGTGTCAGGTGAGTGAGTGAGTGTTTCAGGTGAGTGAGTATTTCAGGTGAGTGAGTGAGTGTGTCAGGTGAGTGGGTGAGTGTGTCAGGTGAGTGAGTGTGTCAGGTGAGTGGGTGAGTGTGTCAGGTGAGTGAGTGAGAGAGTGAGTCAGGTGAGTGAGTGAGTGTATCAGGTGAGTGAGTGAGTGTATCAGGTGAGTGCGTGAGTGTGTCAGGTGAGTGGTGAGTGTGTCAGGTGAGTGGTGAGTGAGTGAGTGTGAGTGTGTCAGGTGAGTGAGTGAGTGTGTCAGGTGAGTGAGTGAGTGTGTCAGGTGAGTGAGTGTGTCAGGTGAGTGAGTGAGTCAGGTGTGTGTGAGTGTGTCAGCTGAGTGAGTGAGTGAGTCAGGTGAGTGAGTGAGTGTGTCAGGTGAGTGAGTGTGTCAGGTGAGTGAGTGTGTCAGGTGAGTGAGTGTGTCAGGTGAGTGAGTGAGTCAGGTGAGTAAGTCAGGTGAGTGAGTGAGTGAGTCAGGTGAGTGAGTGAGTCAGGTGAGTGAGTGAGTCAGGTGAGTGAGTGAGTGTGTCAGGTGAGTGAGTGAGTCAGGTGAGTGAGTTAGTGTGTCAGGTGAGTGAGTGAGTGAGTCAAGTGAGTGAGTGTGTCAGGTGAGTGAGTGAGTCAGGTGAGTGAGTGAGTGAGTCGAGTGAGTGAGTGAGTCAGGTGAGTGAGTGAGTCAGGTGAGTGAGTGTGTCAGATGAGTGAGTGAGTCAGGTGAGTGAGTCAGGTGAGTGAGTGAGTCAGCTGAGTGAGTGTGTCAGGTGAGTGAGTGAGTCAGGTGAGTGAGTCAGGTGAGTGAGTGAGTCAGGTGAGTGAGTGTCAGGTGAGTGAGTGAGTGTGTCAGGTGAGTGAGTGAGTCAGGTGAGTGAGTGTCAGGTGAGTGAGTGAGTGTGTCAGGTGAGTGAGTGAGTCAGGTGAGTGAGTCAGGTGAGTGAGTGTGTCAAGTGAGTGAGTGAGTGTGTCAAGTGAGTGAGTGAGTGTGTCAGGTGAATGAGTGAGTGTGTCAGGTGAGTGAGTGAGTGTGTCAGGTGAGTGAGTGAGTCAGGTGAGTGAGTGAGTGAGTCAGGTGAGTGAGTGAGTATGTCAGGTGAGTGAGTGAGTCAGGTGAGTGAGTGAGTGTGTCAGGTAAGTGAGTGAGTCAGGTGAGTGAGTGAGTGTGTCAGGTGAGTGAGTGAGTCAGGTGAGTGAGTGAGGTGAGTGAGTGAGTCAGGTGAGTGAGTGTGTCAGGTGAGTGAGTGTGTCAGGTGAATGAGTG